GGTGTAATGGCCATTGTTTGGCCGCAGCAACAGCAAGAAGACATCGAACAATTGTTAACTTGGCAACAGGTGCAAATGTTTCAGTGTAATCAAAGCCTTCTTATTGAGAAAATCCTTTTGCAACTAACCGTGCTTTGTAGCGTTCAATCGTGCCATTGGAATTGTATTTTATACGATATACCCATTTGTTACCAATGGGACGATGACCAGTAGGGAAAGGAACCAAAGACCATGTCTTTTAAGTAGTAAGTGCATCAAGTTCACGTTGCATGGCCTCTTGCCATTTCGGATCCAATACAACCTGCGCATATGAGGTTGGTTCGAGAACACTTGAGATGGCATTGACAAAGTGTTTATGATTAGAAGATAAGGAATCATATGAAATGTAGTTACTTAAAGAGTACCGAGTACCTGACTTGGTTGAAGATTTCTAGTTGGAGGTTGCATTTGATGGCATTGTACTCACCTGTCCACAATGAAAAACTTGAAGAAGAATATATGGTTTTCTGATGCATTCACTTCAACGAGGAAGAGGGGTTGGGGATGAGATAGGAGAAGAGAAATTTTCTGTGGAAGCGGTTTCAGGTAATGAGGAAGTGGGAGGAGGAGGAGGGGCTGGGAATGAGAGATGAGATAGCAGAAGAGAAATTTTCTGTGGAAGTGGTCTCGGGTAATGAGGCTGTAGAAGGATTTGTAAAAGGAGTTGACTCAGTAGAATATTCGATTATTTCAGGTTGAGAAATAGTGATAGCAGGTGAGAATGTTATGGTATGAAAAGGAAAAATTTCCTTATGACAAATGACATCTCGACTTGAGAAAAATTGGTGGGTTTGGAGATCATATAAGTGGTAAGCTTTTTGTCCAATGGGATAGCCAACAAAGATGCATTTTCTGGCGCGAGAGTCAAATTTGTGAGTGGGGTACAGATTTGTTGCATAACAAAGACATCCAAACACTCTCAAGTGAGAGTAAATGGGTGGCTTGTTATACAACATTTCATAGGGAGATTTGTGTTGCAGCACAGGGGTAGGAAGTCGATTGATAAGGTAGGTGGCAGTAAGTAAACTTTCTCCCCAAAATTATAATGGAAGATTAGCATCAATTCTTAAGGCTCTGCCAACTTTTAAGAGATGTTGATGCTTTCATTCAACTACACCGTTTTGTTGAGGTGTAGATGGACAAGAGCTTTGAAATGATATGCCAAGATTGGGAAAATATTGTTTCATGGATATGAATTCTGAGCCATTATCACTACGAATACATTTAACTTGGCAATTGAACTAAGTATTAACAAAAGAGATGAAGGTTTTTAGAAACCCTTGTGTTTCCGATTTGAATTGCATGAGAAATATCCATGTGAATCTGGTATAGTCATCGACAATGGTTAAAAAATAATGTGCCCTTGTATGAGTTGCAGTATGAAAGGGTCCCCAAATATCACAATGAAGAAGATCAAAAGAATGTAAAGTTTGAATCATACTAGAAGAAAAAGGTAGTCGTGTTTGCTTAGCCAAATGGCAAGTTTCACACAAATGTTGAGAATTAAATACAAATGAAGGAATAACATGACTCAAAAACTGTGAAAGTGCCTTGGAGGGATGTCCTAACCACTGGGGCCATGGAATTTTTGGAGTGGAATCTACATGATAAGTGATAGATGTGGTAGGTGATGCACACTTTATTGATGGCACGAAGTAGTACAAGCCATTAAGTTGCTTCCCCAAACCAATCATCTTCTTCGAAGTTAGGTCCTGTAATACACAAAAAGTAGGAAAGAAGTGAATAGAACAATTTAAGGTAGCAGTGAGTTGACTAACTGACAGTAAATTGACATGGAAAGAGGAAGCATAGAGTATGTTTTTAACATGCATGTGCGCTGAAAGTTGGGTGGAACCTATGCCAGTTATGGCAGAGGAGGCACCATTGGGCAAGTTTACTTGAGAAGAGAGAGGAGACGAGATTTATTTGTCATTTCAATTTACTGTCATTTCAAAAAATCACTAATAGAACATGACAGAAGATATCTATTTGTCATTTAAAAACCTTTTGAGTACTAACTTATCGTTTCGATAAATTTTAGGTATTAGTAAGTCATTTTCCCTTTAAAAAAAAAAAAAAAAAAAAAAAAAAAAAGCATGAAAGCATGCACATGACATGCTGAAAAAGTAAAAAAGGTAATCCAAAGACTCATCATAAAGTGGAAATTCAAGGACTCGGAGAGAAAATAATTGATGTGTAATTTCCTCAAATCTTTCTTGGGAGTTTGGTGGTAGTTTATTTATTATTATTACTTTTTTTAAGAGTGTGAAAATTATGAAGAGAGAAAAATTGAAGAAATTTTGTGAATCCAAAATGACGCTGTTGTATGGCGTCAGATTGTTTGTTAAACGATAACTCTTTGTCTGACACGTTCTTTCGTGTTGTTTTTAGATTAGAGCAGCGACACGTATTTGTGAAGAAATGACCAGAATTTGGCATAGCTGTGGACGCGATTTCTAATACTGTGTTTGTCAAAAGTCAAGAAAGAAAAAGGGAAAATTCTGATAAAGTAAAAATTAATAATTGTAATGAAATTTCCAGCAAACCTCTAGTAAGGTTGTTGGTATGATAAAGTAGAAATTAATAACAGTAAAAAATCGTACTGTGTTTGTCAAAGGCAAAAAAGTAACAATATAGCATTTAATTATCAAATTAAAAAAAAAAAAGCATGAATGATGAAAGCATGCACATGGGTCTGCTGTATATAGAGTTGGGTGAATCACATGCAGGAAAAAGTAAAAATGTAATTCAAAAATTTGTCATAAGTCAGAGACTGAATAGTTGTTGTCTAATTTTCTGGAACTTCTTGGAAAATCAAAAGACTCAGAGGGATGTGTGTGAAGTTCGGTGGTGTTCACTCCACTCTTTCCTGTATAGTTTTATTTGAAGAGTGTGAGAATTAAGGAGTGAAAAATCTTTGAATCCAAAACGATCGTATTTTATGATGTCAAATTGTTTGCTAAACGGTTAGATATGGTTTATACTTTGTATGGATTTAAAGTCTTATACCCAAATGCATTCGGTGATCCCGCTCCCATATTTGATAAGTTTAATCAGTGATTTGATTTGTTATTAATTTATTAACAATGAGAAATCTAGTTAAAAAAATAGAGAGTGAGTTACCGTTATTATAGATTTGTAATTGCTGTAGAGTTCTGAAACTTAATACAAAATCTTTATTTGAATGATGAATATAATTCTTTAATCAAAATGAACCAAGATAAATCAAAATGTTTTATTTACTTTTTTATTTTATTTTATTACATGTGTTGGTTGTGGATTTCAACAGTCATATATGACATGGGTCAACACCTTCTTTCTTGTTGCTGTTGGATTAGAACAACACGTATTTGCAAAGAAACAACAAGAATTTTGATAGCGTGTGAAAGTAAAAATCACAAAAGAAAAGCATTAATAATTGTAATGAAATTTTGCAGAAAAAAATCTTACTGTGTGAAACACGTTTTTGTCAAAGTCAAGCAATAGGGTTTTAGCAGCACTTTAATTCCAAATAGATGATACCAATTTTTTAATTTCCCCACATTATAATAAAAGATATGTAATATGTTTAAGTGGGATAAAAAGCATCTAAGTGGGATAAAAAGCATCTTAGGATCTTGATTATCTATATATCTATCTAGGACCCATTAAAAAGTATACAATTATCATAAATCTAATTTTTAATTTATCACTGTCATCCTATTGTCACAATTCATTAAGCTATGTATGGTATGGGACGTTTACTTGATTATCAATTTTAAGACTTTGAAAGATTAATTGAGATACGTACAAATTGGTAAATCTAAAACGACTTTATTGATATATTTAATAATTTAAAAAAAAAAACAAACTAAAAGTGTTGTAAATGAACTAATAAGAATAATTCAAAAATACAAATAATATCTTTCATCTATAATTCAAGATTTTTATTTATAAACAATTTAAACTATTCTCTCTCTCTCTCTCTCTCTCATGTGGGCTTTGTCATAATAAGTAGTTATTGCCTCCACCTGTGCGCTTCATTTTCATACCCTCTAATGGAATCTACGTGGAAAATTTTCGAATAAATTACTCTATAACACGTTATTTGTATATCATCTAATAAAATATTATTATATAGATATCTATATAGCTTAAATAGGAATAAAGGATGTGATTGAGGTTAAAAGTCTATAAAAGACGTGAGATAGTCTTGGTCTTGGTTTTTGATGGGGACAAGGGAGGACCAGAGAACAGTACATGTCTTCTAGTGTGATTATGTGAGTACAAAAAGCATTCCCATTACTTATTGGGTTGAGAATAAAAGTAACATTTAATTATCAAATTAAAAAAAAAAAAAAAAAAAACAAATCAGAAAGCGGCACATGTCATGCTCGCGCATAGGGAAGTAAAGGTAATTCAAAGACTTGTCATAAAGTAAATTCAAAGACTGGAGAGAATAGTCCTTTGTGTAATTTCCTCAAAACTTCTTGAAAGTGAGTGGTATCGCTCTAGCCTCTACCTTCCTCTCTATATATTTTTTAAAAGAGCGTGAAAATTAAGAAGAGAGAAATCGAAGAAATTTTGACAGACATTTCTTTCTTTGAAACAATTACCCAATTGAAACTGATCACTCCAAAAACACTTTCTCATACAACTGCAGTGACACCCTCATAGCACTCTAAGTTCAATTTCTCAACATCTTTGATTTCTTAATTTTTCAACTTTTTTTGTAGTTTGCTTAAGAGTGAAACATTAAATATTTTTTTAACAAGCTAGCTGATCATGTTTTTTTAGATTTACAAGATTTAAATTATGTCTTCTTTTTTCTTTTTTTCTTTTATATTATTTCTGGAAATTGAAAATACAATTTTTGATGATTTTTGAGTGTTGACGGTGAGTTACAGTGACGGGTTGGACTTAAGGTTGGCGAGTTTGGATTTTTGGTTGGTTAAAAATGTTGTGCAACAGGTTTAAGTTGTTGTCACGGAGTTTTTCCGACTTTGGAGGCTTTGAAGCGATTTCGACTCACGAGTTAGGCTGTTGAGTCGCGAGATTGGACTTTGTTCATTGCTGAGCTGTTTAAGAGAGGGCTAACATTTGCGACTGTTTCTGCTTCTGGAGGTAATTGTCTCTTTTTGTTCTTTTTGTAGTTTATGTTACAGCATGGATAAAATGTGATTTTTGTGTTGTTGTTCTGTTTATGATTGGGTTAATGCACAGAAAATTTGTTGTTGTTTTGTTTTCTTTTTCTTTTCTTTTTTATTTTCTTGGAAATTGAAAATACATATAGATGGTCTGCAAGAAGTTAAGTGCCTTTCCATTAATTTTTTAGTTTCTATAGAGGACGTAATTGCTTGCATTTACAATATCAACAAACTTGTAAACTCATCATGCAAACAACCTCTTCATCAACACTTCTTCTTGTCCTGGGAAATATGATGTCTTTCTAAGCTTTAGAGGTGAAGACACAAGGAAGAACTCATAGATCATTTGTATACTGCTTTCGTCCAAAAGGACTGTTTTTTTTTAGGGATGACAAAGAACTTGAAGAGGAAAATCCATTGCACCAGAGCTCCTTCATGCAATTGAAGAATCAGATCTGCGTTGTTGTTTTCTCGATAAACTATGCTTCTTTCTCATGGTGTTTAGATGACTTGTTCAAATTGTTCATTGCAAGAATAAAAAATTTCCCCATTTTCTATCACGGATCCTTCCGTGGTTAGACATCAAACAGACAATTTCAAGACGCTTTTGTCAGACTGAGAGCTTATAGAGAGGATATTAGAAGGTTGCGACTTGGAGAAATGCTTTGACAAACGTGGCCAATCTGCTGGATTTGACTTAAAGGTGAGTATGTGACAATTATTTCTTCTTTCTTAAGTGAAAGCTTTGTTATCAAAATGAATTATGAAAATGATGTTCATGACTTATTGTTTAGATGCACCAGTCGTGAGTGTTGATACTACAAATTAACATTGAATTTTGTGTTCAAACCAAGTTTATCTTTATTAAAATTTAAAAGAATTCGTACATGAAATATTTAATTACCAATTCTTATTTATATAGATAGTATTTGATACTAAGTTAATTAATGTAAAAGATAATTAATAAAACAAGCTTTTTCATATTTCACCGAGTCATGATAGAAAATGACGGAGGCCAGTAATTAATAACTTGGTTTTTCTTAGACAAGCATGATACTCTTTATTCATTTTCCTTGTTATTGTAACTAAGACATTAGTATATAATACAAAAGTATAGAAAATCATCTATAGGACATTGCACGACCTCAAAAAAGTAAAAAAAAAAAAGAAAGTTTCATGTGTATAAACCTATATTGTACATAGATATTTCTATGATACGCATTATATTCTTAGTATATTCATGACTAGTTTAGTTATAAATTGTAACCACAATTTTTTCTTGATCTTTTCCCACTCTTCAGGTAAAGTCACAATTTATTCAAAAATGTGAGGAATATCAGCAACTTATGCTTTTCAAAATACGCAAGTGTTGAGAACCTAGGGCATAGGTTCACGATTGGAGGAACTAGAGAGATTATAAGTCTTGAGTCACATGATGTTCGTATAGAGTTGGGATTTGTGAATGGAGGGATGGCAAGACATCAATTGCTAGGTTGCCTATGATTTGTTTTCGATAAATTTGAAGGTAGTAGTTTTTTGGCTAATGTTACAGAATTTCTGAAAAAGGTCTAGTTTCTTTACAAAATGCTTCTTTTCACAATTCTGGATATGGGAAAAGATGACATCAACAGTACAATGTCTTTGATAGAACAAACATGATAAGTAGGGTGTTGTCGTGTAAAGGTTTCTTATTTTTATAGATGAGTAAACAATCTAGAGCAATTAGAAAATTAAGCTAGCGCTGTGTATTGGCATGGGCATAGTAGATCATAATACATCAAGAACAAGGATTGTTGAAATCCATGGTAGATGATGTGTTATAGGCTGAGAAATTAATATGATGAAGCCCTCCAATTATTCATTTCAAAAGCCTTTCAGAAACATCAACCTTCAGAAAGTTTTAGGAGCTATCCGAAATGTGTTTGTACATTATGCTAGTGGTCTCCATTAGCTCTTAAAGTTTTGGGCTCTTTTTTGTGGAAGAAGTTCATGTTGGAAAGATGTCATTGCAAGACTAAAAGAGATTGATAGAAAGAATACTGGAGGTACTTCAAATGGCTTTTTGATGGTTGGAAGAATCAGAGAAAAAAATATTTCTTGTATAGCATGTTTTCTTTTGAGAGAATAGAGATTATTTGACAAGAATTCTTGAAAGTTGTGATTTTTCTCCAATTGTTGGAATAGATGTTCTAACGATAAATCCTCAATATATTTTAGATGCTCTTATTATGGATGCACTTATTGTTCCACAAATGGGTCAACAATTGTCAAGGAGAGTTGACTCCCCGATGCTCTGCCGACTAAAATGGCAGTAGATTGTGGTCTCTCAGCTCTCTCTTAAACTAGTCTTCTACCTTCTGGTCTCCGACTCTCACTCCGCCTGCTCGATTCGCGGACCTCCACCGGGCTCTCAGAGAACAAGCGGCGGCGCGTGGAACAGGTCCGTGTGTCTACCCCTATGCTCCGTCCGGCCCGCTCCCTACCTCGTGCTTCGGGGCCGTCGCTCGGTCGGGGCTCTGAGAAGCTGCAGACCCGTGTGCGGTAGTGGTGTTCGGTGCGTCGCACACATTGGGGTTGGCTTTAACTTATTCAAGACCTCTCTTCTCTATAGGAGGAGCTAGTGCAGGGAAGGTGTCTGTCTGTCGCTTTGCCTTTTGTTGGGGTGTGGGGGTCGCGCGGTAGGGTTGTCTGCCCTTCGGACTTCTATCCGTTGTCGCTCCGGGTACTGTCCAGGGAGCGAGGGGCTCGGGTCAGAAGCTGCCGACCCACGCTGCGGTGCGATCGTTGCGTCTTCACTCACACATTAAGGAGGGGGGGGGTGATGTAATGTTAGGGAGTGCGTGTCCGCGCTCGCCGCGGAGTGGGCGAGACGATGAAGACAGGAGCAGCTAACAAAGAAGTAAGATAGCGGCGTGACGGGAACATCTCTCTCGCCTTTCCCAGAGAGGAAACAACAACGAGGCCGGTTGCGGGGCTGTGACAGTGCAGGAGAAGACGCTCGCGCCCTGTAGCGGGCAGAGGGAAAAAAAATCTGGGAGAAAGTAGGGCGTCATATGGCTCTGTGTCCTCAAAAAGAAGGAAAGCCAAGAAAGATGGTATCGGAAAAAAGGCGCCGTCTGCCGCCGGAAAGCTGGGAGTAGCAGGTTAGGAAACATTTCTATATCGATGGAAAATCACAAACTTACACAATTTATAGGAGATGGGGGGAAAATGACGGAGACAGTGAAAATGGAAAAAAATATAAAAAACCGAGATAGTTCAACAAGGTTAAATAGAACAGACGGAAACAGAGGGGGTAACAAAGGGCCGAAGGAGGTAAAAGAACATACTTCTGTAGATTAGAGTAAAAGGGTAATAGCAAACGGAGAAAGGGTGGGCTACTGGGTTGTGCAAGTAGACTGCAACGCAAGCGAAGAGAGAATGCAGGGGGTGAAGGCGAACGGGCGGGCTCTCCGCCCGCGGGTGTGGGGGTTTCGGCTTTTATTGCAAGGGAACCGAAGTTGGGGGAAGGCCATAATACTCAAGGGTTCGAAGAAAAGATGCACAGTGGTTGTGCTAAACAGGAGCGAAAATGATCAATCTAGATTACTCAAGATACGCAATGTTCAACTTCCAGAAGGCCGTGATTACCTTCCCATAACTTGCGTTTACTTGATTGGAAAGGGATCTCCTTTAAATCCTTACCACCCAATTTGCATTGGACAAAAGTATTGAGCTGAATGACTCCAGCCACTTCAAACAATTGCAGCGGGGATAACTGTAAGATTAGTTCAATACACTTTCCTATTTAAGGTTTTATGAATTAAATAACTATATATGAAATATTTTCTGTTTTTTTATTGTTTAATAAATATGGAAAATTAGACATCCCACATCTTTGTCTAACTTTTTTTTTTTTTTCTTTTAATAGCCTTTCAACAATTTGGCAGCCATCAGGTTTGGTAAGTGTAAGACCTAACCAAAACACCAGACTTCACATTTGCCCCAAATCTCAAAAAGGTGATTCTTGAAGGATGTAAAATATTGCGTGAGATTCACCCGTCTTTGTTGGTTCACAAAAAGATTACTTATTTGAATATGTGTGGTTGTACAAGTCTTACAACTCTACCAAACCAGATTCATATGGAATCTCTAGAAAAACTTCTTCTATCTGGTTGCTGCAAATTGGAGAAGTTTCCAGAGATTGCAGGAAGTATGGATTGTCTACGTGGCATTTGTTTATACGGAACTGCTATTAAAGCACTGCCAATGTCAATTGAACTTTTGAGTGGGCTTGAAGATTTTACTTTGAAACACTGCAAAAATCTTGTGAGTCTTCTAGTCACTATAAATGGTTTGGAATCTCTTCAAACATTTACACTTTCTGGATGCTCCAAACTTGATAATAAATATGGAAAATTATGACATCCCACATCTTTGTCTAACTTTTTTTTTTTTTTTTCCTCTTTTAACAGTCTTTCAACAATTTGGAATCCATCAGTTTTGGAGATTGTAAGTACCTAATCAAAACACCAGATTTCACATTTGCCCCAAATCTCAAAGAGGTGATTCTTGAAGGATGTAAAATGTTGGGTGAAATTCACCCGTCTTTGTTAGTTCACAAAAAGATTACTTATTTGTATATGACATTTTGTACAAGTCTTACAACTCTTCCAAACCAGATGCATATGGAATCTCTAGAAAGACTTGTTCTATCTTTTTGCTATAAATTGGAGAAGTTTCCAGAGATTGTAGGAAGTATGGATTGTCTATATAGCATTTGTTTAAACAATACTGCTATTAAGGGACTGCCAATGTCAATTGAACTTTTGCGTGGGCTTAAATATTTTGAGTTGAATTACTGCAAAAATCTTGTGAGTCTTCCGGTCACTATAAATGGTTTGAAATCTCTTACAAATTTTGACCTTTCTGGATGCTCCAAACTTGATAACTTGCCAGAGACTTTGGGGCAAGTTGAAAAGCTATCGACACTTGATGTAGGCGGAACTGCGATAAGACGACCAATGGCGTCCATTTTTCTTATGAAGAATCTTGTATGTTTAAAATTTCGTGGATGCAAAAGGCCACTAGCAACATCTTTGTCTTCACTCTTCCTCAAGACTTTTAGATTGCCCACTTTGTCAGGTTTTGGCAGATCTTTGTACAGATTGGTTATGAGTGACTGCAATATGGAGGAAGGAGCGATTCCAAATGACTTTTTCTATAGCTTTCCTTCATTACGGTTTCTAGGACTACGCAAAAACAATTTTGTTTCACTACCTGGAAGCATCAATAGTCTTTCTAAGCTTCGCTATCTTTACTTGGACGGTTGTAAGAGACTTCAATCTCTACCAGAACTTCCATCCAAGATAAGACATATTAAAGTAGATGGTTGTGTAGCACTGGAAACAACATCAAATACATTAAGGTTATGCAATTCCACGTTGTCAACATTTTCATGTGTAAACTGCTTGAAATTGATTTGCTACAACAATCAGGCATCTTCAATGCCCAGAGAATTCCTTAAGGTCAGTGTCTTTCTCTTTCTCTCTCTTCATCTTTTGAGTTAAACATTATTGTACAACTTTTCTTTCTTTTTCTAAGTGCAGGCAATGTCAAAGCCAACAAACAGACCTTGGTGGCATTGTCAGTGGATTAATGAATTTCAGATGGTTATTCCTGGAAGTGAAATTCCAGAGTGGTTCCAACATCAGAGTGAGACTTCTTCAATTAAAATAGAAAGGCCTCCAGATTCTTGTGATAACAAGATGGTGGGATATGCTGTCTGTTGTGTTTTTTATGTCCATGAGCATCAGCTTACCCCTAGTAAAGGTTATTACATTGGCAGCCATGGGATTGGCTGCGAACTGACAAATATCGATCCATTAAATGAACCTTGGATTCAGTTTGAAAACAATTTGGGCAAGGCTGTGTTAGACCATCTTTGGCTGTTCTATTTTTGTGCTAGTGCACTCAATCAAGATTTTGTTGAGCTTTCATTTAAATTACGTGGTCCAGGATTAAAGGTGAAGAAGTGTGGGATACATCCAATATATGAGAAAGAAATTGAAGAGTTGAAGCCAAGGGCCAAGAAATGCAGTAGCTCTAGTTTTTGGAATTCATATGAGTTGGATGAAGATTTTCTTGGATCAACGGCGGATGTTGACTGTGATGGGGCAGAAGACGCAGATGATATATATTTTTCAGCTCATGATGAAGATTGAAGAGCTCATAAGTTGACGTGTGGTAATAATTTTTTTTTTATGGGCTGTTGTGGGCTTTCTGTTTTTTGCATTGGGCTTTGCTATAACATATACTGGATTATTTGCCATGGAGAGGCGTGGGACTCCTTATTCCAAGTGGGGACAATTTTTGTTTCTTTCTCTTTATATACTATTAAACAAATTAATAATTAAAATTTATGGATATTATTTATATTTTCTTAAATAATTTCTGGATTTAAAAATAATATTATTAAATATTTTCAATTGATTTTTGTATATTTAATTTAATTTTATATTTCAAATTATAATATTATATTGAATGATTAAAAAAAAAATTTCATGGTACGATTATAATTATTTATTGGGTCAGGATATTGTAACTTAAATTTTTTACTTATTTTTTTGACACACCTTATAAATCGTCTATCATTATTGATCTATCTTGTCACCGCTAGTTTATAACATATGAACGTTTCACAAAGAGTGTCAAAAAATAAAATTAAAATTTTAAGTTACGGTATACTAATCTTTACTGTTTATTTAAAGTATAAAATCATAATTATAATTAGTTTTTTTAATTAATATATCTTCCATTCAAGTATCTTCTAATTAATTACTATATAAATATCATAAATATTGATATAAATAATGCAAATATTAAAAGAAAAAATTAAGATGAAGAAAATGCTACAGAGTATTCTATAATTTCAAAATGAATGTTAAACTAGTTTTTAAATTTTTTTTAATATAAATATCTTATTAAATAAATAAAAATGAATGTTAGTGTATCAGTATACAAATTAGTATGAATAAAAATCTTGTTAACTGCTATTTACTTATTTTTATTTAGGAATGTAATAACAATAAAATTAAATGTAAATAAAAAACAATCCCTAAGGTTCTCATTGTGAAATTCTTTAAAAAAAAAAAAAAAAAAAAAAAAAGAGGAGGCTATTTCAAAATTTTTCACAGAAAGTAAAGCCCGACAATGACGGAAAATCATCATATTACAGCTTTAAACCAAATTTCTGTTCATGGATCTATTATTTTAAAACACCTTACCAATAAATAAATACGACCAAAACATATGAGATATATGCATATATTTATAATAGTCTAGACCAAATTAAATAGATATTAGGTGTGATATTTCATAACACTTCGATAGAAGAGTAAAATGTTAGTTAAATACTATTATGAGTCTTTAAACTGTCAAAACGTGCTTAGGGTGGAATCCTAGAAGTAAAACCCTAAGGACAAAAATCTAAATACTACAGATGAATTTCCAAATACTACAGATGGGTGAGTAAGAAACAAATTAAAACCTACAAACTATAGATTAATTATACTACCACTTTGTAAGTAAGAAACAAACTACAAACTATAGTTTAGGGGTATTTTGTGTATAATACAAATTAAGGGACTAATTTGTAATTCTAAAAAAAATTTGTATAGCTGACGCCATCAGATCGACCGGTTGAGCAGGTCAAACTATGAACTGGGCCCTTGACCTTTTTAGAACATTGCAAAAAATTGTGAATCAAACGGAGCCTATATCTTAGGATTCTAACAACTGCAATATTAATAACAAACAGCTTATCTAAATAGATAGATAATACAAATTGCAATAATAAGAGTAGAAGTTGAGAGAATATTTTCCCACCACTTAATTTAATGATGTAATTGATTATATATTAGAGTATTTCATTGATGTAATTGAATACATATAGAGTACAGGAGTTGAATGTATAAACTTCAATTAAAATCTAAACTGACTCCTAGAATAAAGGAAATACCTGGAGAACTAAATGCAAAGTCAAATAAAATACAAAAAAACAGTGGAAAAAAAAAATATACAATCAAAAGAAGGCAGATAGCTTAGCCAGATAGATTCTAACAATTGTAGTAGACAACTGCTATGATAATAAATGGTATGTGATCTTTTAGCTTAAAATTTTATTTAAATTAAGACACAAATTCCAATCCTCGATATTTTTTAATTGGATAAATGTGAGAAGAAATTGGGAGAAAATATTCTGAATAGACAGATAATACAATTGAAGAGTGGAAAAATGATAATTCAATTGAAACAAGGCTTGAATGACATTACTCCTTGCAAACAACAACCACTTGCTTAAATTCTGGATGCCCTGAAGCCACAACTTTGGCCACTCCAAACCCTTCCAATGGCTACATTTTTCACCATGCATGCATCAACATAAACAAGAAAACTTTCATAAGAAACAAAACAAAATAAAACCCTTTATCTAATAGGTTTTAAGTTTTCGGAACCTTTAATTACTTAATATGATATCAGCGCTAAAGGTATTTGAGGAATGCATACTGATTCAATTGTGTAAATTAAACCAGGAATTCCCAAATTCTTCATGCGATTCCCCATGATAGGATCACAAGACAAGGTAAAGATTCTTGATAACAACAGCATTTGAACCTGGTTCTACTTTCAATGATATGGAACATGTTTTCACGACCATGTCTGATTCTTTTGGAGCTCCATTAGCAAAGTGCTTCACTTGGAAAGGCGAATGGTCTGGTGACTATATTAGAATGAACATAGAAATCATTACAAATGATAACAGTAACTTACCACAAGCCCACTGATCTTTACTTTCCAGTAGAGAATCATCCTGGCCTAAACAGTCCGGATGATAAGACTTAAGACAGTCCCTGCAAGCAATGGCTGTGACAAGTTAATGGGATAGACAACATCCTCTATCAAGGCATGAAAGTAAGAGGATATAGCGACGAGACAACATTAAAATTAGCATCAGATATCCATGTGCGTTGTAATATTTCTGAAGGGCAGATTAATGTTTTAGAAGTTTCTAAAGCAATTTCTTTCTTGTCAATAAGGGAGAAAAAAAATTGAATATTCAAACCTTCAAATAAAAGTCATTTTAGGCTTATCAAAAAGTAGATGGGAAATATAATAAAAAGAAAAAAAAATAGTGCTCCGAAGAGATAAAATAATACAATAAAAGCAAAACCAATCTTAGAACCAGCATCAGCAACCTGATTTCATCACATGGGTGAATTAAGGCACACAGTGAAAAGACAGATCTATCCCTTCATTCCTAATAAGAAGGGCACCAGAAATTCTTCCAAAGGACCAACCAAAACCTGACAATTTTTGCTCTGAAAATCTGATATAAATGCTTATAGAATGTTTCTGAAGCTTACCTGTAGTCACAAATCCTGAGAGAGCCGCCATCCTTGCAGATGAAGCACCAATCCTCGGCTATTTCTTCCTTCTTTAATTTATTTCTTCTTCCCATCTTCCAAAAGCTCTCAACTTTAATCCCAAAATGCAATTTCAAGACCAACCCAAGGGATTGATTGAAAGAACTTCTCCTAAACCGGCAAAATCAATGAGAAAATCTTGCAATTTCTGATATTCACGATAACCAGTGCGTAAAAAATAATCCCCACCTCAACAAAGAAAAAAGTAAAAGTTATGGACTTTTAGGAACTTTGATCATTAGCCTTTTGACTCATAATCTAAGCTTCATTTGACTAAAAAAAAAACAACTAGAACTTTGAACGAATTAATGGAGAAAAATCTCACTAAAACAACACCAAAATCCCTTAAAAAAAAAACCCAAAAAAAGGGAAACTTTGAACTTTTATAAACAAGCTTCAGTTTTGCATGTGATTATCAAATGGGTTTTTGATAAATAATCAAATGGATTTTGATTTAAAAAAACTCAAAATAAATAAAGTCGTCATTTTTCAAATGCAAATGCCATGATTCTCAGTCCAAAACTAGAACAAAATCAAAAACAAGAACACAAACCCATTCGAAACAGAGCAAATGACCACTGCGGCTGAAGAAACCGAGAACTACAGGCCAAAAATGGAGCCTTTGAGGCAAGTTGAAACAGAGAATAGAAATAGTTTTATGAGCACTTAATGACGGTTTCTCGGGGATATTTTTCTGGAAATATTCTCTGGAAAAACCCCAAAAAAAAGAAATAAAATCTGTCTCGAAAATAAGAAGAAAATTTAATGAAAATTTAATCCTTTACCTTTTTCGAAAATAAATAAAACCTTTTATAATTAAAGTAAGGTAATCTACGGATAATATAACCTTTTATAGAGCCTTGAAATTTAAAAAAAAAAAAAAGTTAGATAGAGCATAATTTAATGATTCAAATGAAAAGTACCGTTATTCATATGTTGATTATTGTTTTAATGTTTATCAAATCTTTTTGTGTTGGTTTTAAATATTTTGGTTTAAGAAAATCATAGATTAAAAATTTTAATTATAGTGATTGCCACTTAATTTGTATTGCACCTTCCCAAGAGCATGACAACACCAGCCATCGTGTAAAATATGATGATACAAATAAGGCCGGACAACTCTTTCCAAAGTTTGCTTTAAAGACAATTCACCACCCAAACAGTTCAAAAGGACAATTCATTACCCGAAAAGTTTCAAAATGACAATTACCTACTTTCTATTAATATCTATTAATGAAATCTGTTAAATGATTGTAAAGGCAAAAACACCCTATCCCTTTAGAAAAATGTTATATCTACCGAAAAATTGCACCGAAACACGTGAAGGCCGCCACGTTGGATGATTGAATACTGATATAAATGAACGGTCGTCCAACGATTTCGGATGACCGTCCATAAAAAATTGTTTTGTTTAAAAAAAAAAAAAAGGACGTCCGTCCAGTTAATATGGATGGCCGTCCATAAAGTTTGGACGGGCATCCATTGTTTTTTTTTTAAACAAAACAATTTGGACGTACCCCACTTCTTCTTCTTCTTCATGGCCTTCCATGGAGCATAGTCCTTACTTTAAACAGGAAGCATCCAAAGCAATCCACCTTCTTAGGTAAGTTACCTAACTGAACTTGAAACTTTGGCTCATTTTCTTTAACCTAGGTCTGACTGCTTGACCCACCAACCTTCAAGTCTTCCTCCATCAGATCATCCTCCAGGGACAAATCTGCAGAGAACTCATCAAGAATCCTCTATTGGAGAAGTTTCTCCCTTTTTAAGCTTTTGTGGTGGTCTTTCCTAGCTTTACCTTCTGCTGGGTACTTCACCATCAGACCAATATTTTGTTCTCTCTCTGCTTCAGTCTGTATTTCCCTATTCACTGAACCAAGACTAGACTAAGGGCAAAGAGAACTACCTTTGGTCCCTTCATCCAACTTATAGGATGGAACTCGGACTCCTAACTAAACTCTCTTCCGATTGTCTCGATTTCACTGCCTTGGTTCTTAACTGCCAACTCCTTCTTAAGCACTTTCAGGAAAGGAAGGAGGCATTGGAGAGAAGTGGGCATGGTGGCCAAGATTCGGTAGTCAGAGTCATACCAGTCTGAAGGCAGGAACGAAGTCGGAGTCAGAGTCATCTTTGCAATAAAGGTTTGCTTTGATTTAGCCGAGAGAGATCTTGAAAGCGAGTTTCAGTGATCTAAGGGTGAATAGATAAAATACCGGAATCGGAATTCCACTAGGATTTACTGGAATCGGAATTGGAAGTGATCTGATGGTGGAGAGATTACGAGGATTTAAAAGAAGTGAAGAGTCTACGCATGCAGAGAACGTGGCATGCTTAGTGCTGGACGTGACGAGCAGGAATACGGCTGTTCTGGTTAGTGCTGGATGTGACGAGCAGGAATATGGCTGTTCTGGTTACACCTTTGCCTGTTAACCTCCATTTTAGAACTTGTATTCTCTTGCCTGGTCGATATGATGGTGGGTTTAGAAATCAAGCGGAAAAGAAATGTATGGAAATGGCTGTTGTTTGGGTTGTTGGGATTTTTGTTTTTTGGTTGATCCTTTGACAGCCAGTTGTTGTAACTGGTTTATTAATCCTGTATTTGCCTTTTGATGCTACTGTGTGGGATGTTTATTATCTTCTCAACAATTTTTATGGGGTGAGAGAAGAAGGTAAAAACAATATTAAAACCACCAAATGAAACCAATATTAACCAACCGGGGTGAGAGAAGAGAAGGACCCAGCCATTGCCAACGTAGTCATGGATCTTCATCTTTCCTTGGGTGGTTTCGACATCAAGGTTGGGACAGGTATCTCCAATTGTAAGGCTTGGCATTTTCAACTCACTCTGCAACTTCAGCTTTCCTTCGAAGTGATCTGATCATGGAGAGATTATGAGGATTTAAAAGAAGTGAAGAGTCTGCGCATGCAGAGAACGTGGCATGCTTAGAGCTGGACGTGATGAGCAGGAATGGGTCGAGTAGATAAGCTGGACGTCGTGTGAGTTTCAGAGGCTAAATATCAGCTTGAAGAAAAAAAGCCTCTGTTGATAAACTAAGGAGTCAACTTGAAGCTTTTTAATTAGAGAAGGGACGCCCATCCAAAAATAAAGGACGGCCGTCCATCCTTTATGGACGGGCGTCCATTACATACGGACGACCGTCCTTAACAATGGACGGGCGTCCATTCATTGTGGACGGGCGTTCATTCCAAATTTTTTTAAAATTTTAAAATTTTTTATTTCATTTACCAATGGGACGGGCATCCTTTAAATGAGGACGTCTCATTCGTAGTAAATGGACTCCTGTCCATATGTTATGGACAGCCGTTCATTAGAAAAAATTTAATAACGTAAAATACGTTGATTGGTCTGAGTCAGTATATACATAAACCGGTACAAAATTTCGGTGTAAAAACATCGGTGTCTGTAGCATTGTTGATCCCTTTAAATCCAAAACTTAAAACTAGACCTACTAGAAAAGGACAAGAGCAAAATGCCCCATTGCCAACCTCGATAAATCGAAAAACAGAAGCCAAAACCCACACACCCAACCTGCCCACAGCAAACATTGGCCCACATCCAAAGCACCCTCCGACTGGACAAAAACACATTCACGATCTACTCCATTCAAGCAACAAAATCATAAACTCGTCTTCATCTCAAAACATTTAATAGTAAAATCATAAATTCATTTCAAAAACATAATCATAGACCCATAATCCATAGTAAATCATATTAGAAAAATAAAATCACACACCTATAAATTTATTATTAGAAAAGAAGTTGTGAGAGTAGTTTTGAAGAAAATGGGACTGAAGAAGAAGAAGAAGAAATTGGGAGTGCAGAAGAAGAAGAAGAGGAAAAAGTTGTGGGTGTAAGTATACCATGTCAACGCGGCCAAACCTCATATGGTTTTAAAGAATTATTCCAAAAAGTGGAATAATTATAAATAGAGTAAACGACATATTCCCAACCAAGGTTTAACAAAATTCCAGGTTGGTACCCCAAGTTCTATTTATTCTAATTCTCACCCTTAAAGTGACGAAAATCATTGGATATAACGGTTCAGGGGTAAATTGATCATTTTGCAGGAGGAGGCGCACATTAGTAGATAGCCGCCCCTAACAGTGCTCCATGCATGTTAGTCAACATCGCCCCCAATGTTTTTCACCATTTTCTGACTATTCTTCCACCCAAAATCACCCCTGTCACCACCATTTGAACCTCCATCCTCCCCTCTATAAAATCTTACCCCTCACAACCCCTCATCATTCATCGATCGCCAACCACGACAGCTGTCGCATGCGACTGGTTTTTATCAGTCTCCATTGGCGAATGCAACTAAACGCTCATCACTCATCGATCGCCAACCACGACAGCCGTCGCATGCGACTGGTTTTTATCAGTCTCCATTGGCGAATGGCGACTAAACGGTTGTTGGGGATATGTGAGTTTTAGAGAGTTGGAGACGCTAGTTGCAATGGTGATGTCCAATTGGATTTTTGTCACTGGAATCCAGCGAAACCATAAGCCTTACTATGCCAGTGATCGGAGGGGCCAATAAGTCAGGAACCAAAGGGGTTTGGATGACGAACGATAGGAAAGTTGACGAAGGTGACCAGGGGGTTCAACGCCATTAGAAATAGCCCAGATCCGGCAAAAACCGAGAGGGTGCGCAGTCACCGAGGGTGTAATGGAAGTAATTTGAAAATAAGATAGTTAATTTTATAATTTTAGTAATTTAAGGGCTAAAACATAATTTATTAATTTAGGGTTAAGGGCATTATGGTAATTACATCATCTCTATCCTAAAATTTACTAACAGTGTTATTATAGGAATTGGAATAAATGAAACTTGGGTATCAATAGGATTTCGACAAACCTTGGGTGCGAATGTGTCGTTTACTCTTGTAAATATGAAAAAGAATCAAAATGATTGGACATATGACATTGAGTCTTGAGTAAGCATTAAATGGCGTCTGGCTCAAAGCATGAATTAGATGGAAAATCTTCTTGAAATTATTCTCTATAGAAAAAAATCAAAAAAAAAAAAAAAAAAAATCAGTCTCGCAAAGGGAAAATTACATTGAGATATTACGCTTTTCCAAATCACAATCAAGGACTAAATTATTAAGGCTATATTGGCGCTATCCAATTTAGTATTCGAATCGAATTATAGATACATAACTTTATGCCTTGACATTTTAAGAAATTACATTTACCCCCTATAGCTAATGACTTGATCTTGCATAATTAACAAAATATCGATGAAAAGATATTCAAGTAATTGCAATATAAAATTCCGAATATAAAAATTTGAATGTACATTATTCATTTTTTTTTTTTTTTG